AAACGAGAATCATGCATCGACGGCAAACTCCGCGAACAGCAATAGTCTTCGCGGCGTTTTGTCTCCCGTCGACTTATGTAAACGTAATTTTAATTTTGCTTACCAAAATCTGTTAACCCAGTGTGATAAATTAGTCGTCTTGTGTAGTGTTATTTTCGTGTAAAATTTCCACTTTTTGCAGCAGATCGTATTTTCTGATTTGACGCAGTCTTCCGTTTTCCCACCAAAACAATTGCGCGCGCGACTAATTTTCTTTGTTTTATATTTTTTCAGTTGTGATGAATGAAATGGCTATTAAAGACGACACCAAAACCAAGAACGACAACCAAGAACAAGAACGACAACAAAATGTGGCATAAACCTATTAAATGAACCCTGAGAATCTGAGAAGTCTCATGGGCCGCGGAGCAGGGGGCACTAGAAAAAATCGCGCACTTTAAAGGTTGTAAATTTGATGTAAATATTATGTAAGTGTTCAAAATGATGTAAATTTACATCAAATTTAAGCATCATCAAATTTACATCATTTTGGACACTTACATGATATTTACATCAAATTTACAACATATAACACATTTTCATGATGGACACCTAAAAACTTATCATGAAGTTGTCTACTACGGTATACATACTAAAGAATTAATTGCCGCTAAAAAAGTTTTCATTCATGCATTTAGAAGACWTATCTGGTAATCTTATCGTATTCTGAAGTACTTGTGGACTTTTTTTTTCGCGAGTTTCTGTGTTCTTTAAGCTTTAAATCGTCTAAAACGTGCAGTTATTATAGCGAAACAGCAGTCGGCCATATCTTGTTTATTTTCTTATATGGGCATAGATTGGGCAAAGGAAGCCCAAGTGACTTTTGACTTTTACTCCGACGAAGGATTAACGTCCGAAACGTCAGTAAGTTACTTCACCTACTTTTTTACGGTGTTTATTTTATCTTTTTACACAACTGTTTCTTTAGAAACACTGACGCAGCTCACACTAGTTTACCGCTAGTTCCCACCAAAGGAAGCCCAAAACTAGAACTCAACAACCATAATGCTTTGCTGTACAAAATGGCGTCGCTGCGTATTTCTATTATGTTCCATGCAATCCTATTCCCATCCAGTCCAATTCCATTGTTACGCACTGAGAACCTGAGTCAACATTCATTCAACAAAGAATTGAATTCGTTGAGAAGAGTGTACACGACCGTACGAGAAACCACAATAAAGGCACAGATCAAGTGTTTTTTTTCTTCACAAAATGTCCAAAAAATCCATGGTTCATTATGAATTGCGTGACAAATGGCTGCGTGAAATCTCCAGTTGATATCTATACTGTCATAACTAGGTTACCTAGTAACCAAGCATTTTTATTGTGACACGTATAAGTCCGTTCACGTTTTTTGCGGGTTTTCCGTCTTGCCGAATTATTAAAATGAGTGCAACGGTGATTGTTGCTTTCTCTGTGGTGCTAGTATAATCATCATCACTTTCATCGACTGTGGAAAGACTTTTTTATTTCTGCGAAAAGATTACAATAGATTGAAGCCTAATAGTCATGAAGGGAGACCTGCAAGGGGTTGTCATAACACAAAACTGCTAAGGCTTTCCCGCTTTTTTCGTCAACCGCCGCTATTGAATGCGATATTTCGACGCAAAATCTACGTTGAAACCGTAAACCGCATTGCATGCAAATCGGCGATTTTCCGCAATCAAACAATGCCTTCACAACCATATGAGAGCAAGATCGAAAACCGACCTCTATATCAGCACAAACCGGCAAAGTGACAACCTAAAATATAGGCCCTTACAAACCGAAGTGCTGTTTTGCCGAAGTATCCATTTGAAAATCAAGCCATTGAACTTGGTCTCCTTCTTCCTTAGTGTCATACGATCCGAAGCCGAGTCAATTTTTTTATTATTTATTCACAATATATAAATACATTTGTAAACAGATCGTGTGCTTTAAGTCAATTCACCCACACAAAAAAAGAAAAAAAAACTTCAAAAACGTCAAGGCTCATGCGTGCGCTAGAAGAAAAAAAGGAAGAAAACCATCACGATCATTCTGTGGTTCAGCCATCTACCGAATTTATTCCACGAAATACTTCACAGAGCAACTGTTGATACTTCAGAGTCGTATCTTTTTTCGCTCCATCCAAGGTACTTTTCAACTCGAAACAGTCATTGACCCACAACCCTTTTTTTACTGACCTGCACTTTGTCCAATCAAGCACATCCCTCTCCATCCCTCAATAAACGCAGAACCTGTTGTTATTTGGGCTATTGCTATTAGTTTAATTACTCTTGCAGAAACCTGGAGAGAAAGTTCTATTCAATTTTAATAGGTCTGCTTCTTTGCGAAAAATTATTTCTGTAAAGTTTTGGCTGGTGTGCAAGTCAGTGTAAGTGGCTAAACACGATGCAGGCGCAAGGCAGAAGTAATCAACGTGAGTAGTTTTGAAGCAAAGTTGGTTTTGGAACTTCTTGCTTTCAGTCGCCCAGAACGATACTTTTTTGCTACGAGTTTACTTAGAATTTCCTTAGTTTCGAGATCTTTGCATAACAGATGCTTACATGGGCTTAGCACATTTAGAAAACCGTTTTTAAACAGTGATTTTCAAATTTTCGGTATTTCAAAGGAGACGGAAATGGTATATTTAAACGTCACTTAGTATTGACTTCGACACAGTTCCAAAGATTACAAATTTCAAAGTCCAATCCAGTCCACTTCGTTTCTGTGCTCACTTGACCTCGTCACCTTCGATAAAAAGAACCGAGATTGAGTTACGATCTTCTTTTGTTCAATTAACACATTGAAACATGGACGTCGATAATTTCCTCAAGAACATTGGTCAATTTGGACCATTCCAGATCCGAATTTTGGCCTTGTTTTTGTTTATATTTTTCCCTGTTACCTATCAAACGCTCATTATGGTTTTCATGGCTTACGAGCCTCCCTGGATGTGCACTGAAAACAGCACGGCTTGTCTGCTACCAAACGCAACCGGCCAAGAAATCTTCAGTACNTATTGTTAACCTGTCATACCCGGACAAACGGTGGTCATATCCGGACAAACAGGTATAATATAAGCTAGATTCTGTAGAGTATCGCACRTGCCGTACTCTGGAATGGACTTTGAACTCGTATTTCAAGGTGCGCTCACTGAGAAGTCTAACTGTCAAACTTTATTAGAAATTTGAATTTGGGGGGTGGGAGACCTATTTCTGACAGTTCTTCCAAATGACAGTTCTAAATGACCTGAATGTTTCCATAACATTGTCTATTGTATGAAATCGATGTTAGGCACCTATGAAAGTGGTCTTGGTTGATAATAGACCCCATTTACTCGGTCGTTACATTTATTAAAATCATTGTGTTGCACGGTTTCCTTTGATAATGGCGTCGTTTGTAGGAATAAAGTATTTCTTAATCAACCAATTAATCATTCAATCAACTCATTAATTAACCAACGAATCAATCAGACAATGACTGCACTATCCCACCCACCAACTAACCCACAACCCACTATCCCATCAACCAACTTACCCACAAACCAACCCACCAAGCAACCCACTATTCCGCCAACCAACTAACTAACCAACCAGCCAACCTATCGACCAATCAACTCACTAACCAACTGCAGCTAACCAATTTTGACCATATTTGCAGTTTGATTTAGTGTGTGATCGTAGCATCTACGCGTGGTTAGCTAATTCGATATTCTACATTGGTTGGGCCATTGGTGCTCTTGTACTTGGGATGATTTCAGACAAATATGGCCGACGAAGTGTTCTTTTCCCGTCTTTAACATGTGTGATCATCACAGCGTTTGCCATGTCTTTCTCCGAAGCTATCTGGCTGGTTATATTATTTAGGTATGGTTTAATAATAGCATCGTGGTATATGATAAGTATTACGTCATTATCTCCTATGACGTCATTTTTGATTTGGCGAAGTGCATCATGGTATTGATATGTATAAAATACGAGTGGGAGTCCTATATAAGCATTGTATTATCATCATCATCAACAAACAACATCATTTTTTCTCCATTGCAGGATCTTGATTGGTTTCTTCGAAGGAGGATGCATATTAACCATGTTCGTTCTAGCATGTGAGTTAGTTGGTCCTGCTAAACGAGCGTTGTCTAGCACTATGGTATGGTTCTATTTCTCACTGGTACTGATGGTGATGGGCCTCGAGGCTTATTTCATTCGTGACTGGCAGACGATGTGTATCATCATTTCAGCTCCATTTATTTTTACAGTTCTCTTTTACAAGTAAGTGACATTTTGAATCAAAATACAGCTAAAATTGAATGGTATATGTGATAGTCTAAAGTTTCTGCGGCAGCTTTTGCTGCAGTGGCAAAGCAGTCAGAGCAGCAGTCGAGGTAGCAGCGAAGTAGCTGTAGTGCGGTAGGAGCTTGCAGCGGAAACAGTATTAAAATCAACACCAGTAGTAGCACTTAAAGCAACAGAAACATTAGGCAATAGCTACGATAGTAGTAATAGCGGCAGCTGCTAGATAACAGTGAAATAGTAACAGCATTAGTACTAGCAGCGGCAGGAGTAGGAATAGCCATCATTAGTACTAGCAACGGCCAGGAAAGGCAGTAGCAACTGCAGCAAGGAGTGTAGCAACCACTGGAAAATCTCAGTCTTTAACATACTATGTAAATACTTTGAAAATTGTATTTTACATAGTATAGAAATTGATTTACGAAGTATTTACAGGCTGTCATTTCTTATTACAAAAACGTGTAAAAAGTTTGCAAATTTTAGCAATGCACGTCTAGCAGCAACAACAGTAGTGTAGCAGTGATTACCAGAGTGAGCAGCAATCATAGCTGCAGTGTTGGTAGTAATTGCAGTAGCAGCGTGACTTAACTCAGAAATATCAAACATTGAGCAATAACCTTAAAGTTATACAAGCTCTTTTTTGGTAGATAATTGTTGAGATTCCATATAATTGTTGAGTGTGAATGAGTTTTTTTATTCTAGATGAGAAACAAGAAACTTGAAGTGCTTTCAATCTTTTAATCGTTTGAGTTTACATAATTATCTTTAGCATTACTTAAATACCTTAATACAACATTGTTTTTACTTGGTTTATCGTTATTTTAATGTGTTTACGATAGTCAGCATCAGGACTGATGACCCAGATGGTCTGTATGGTGAACTGAAATACAATTTAAAA